CAGCTTCAACACAGCCGGGTCACTGAGGTTCCCGAATACTTTCTCATCGTTGTTACCATAAGTAGCAACATACCACTTACGGATCTCTGTATCATCGGTCCTTCTCAAGCTCTGGTACCAAGTAACCCACTTAGAGGCGATAGACCGGAGGCCAAAGAGTAGGACTATGATGAAGACATAGATGACCGCGAGGTAGATGGCTGAATCATGGCCGGTGAAAGTTGTCACGATGGGCGAGATGAACAGAATTGGCACACATGCGAAGATGATTTTGCGGCCAGATAGGAAAGTCGAGCCGGGATAGCTGAAACTGGCGAGGGAGGCGAAGCTTGAGAAATAGATCGTCAATGCGATCAGATACAGGTAGAAAATGATTCCGGCCCGTGCGCTCTCCGTGGCAGAAATGGCAATGAACCCAATGAGACCACCGGCGACCGTGAAAGCAATTCCAGCAATCAATCGGATGAGAACAAACATGTTGGCAGCCGCGAATGCCATTGAGATCAGATAATACGGGCCTCCACAAGCAATCCACGTGCCAATAGCACCGGACAACAAGAGCGAAATCATTAGGGCGATAGTAGCACTCTGCTGCTCATCATAGGTCATGTATGCAGAAAGATACAGCCCGCGCCCGATGATTGTGAGCAAGAGAATATCGATCAGCGCAGGGAAAGCGAAGACACTGAGAAATGTGAATCGTTGATAGCCACGCATAGGCTTGACCTTGTCGGCTGGATTCACATCTATCTGTGCGCCAGCGTACGACGTAGCCATATCAGGAGCACCATTGATCCAATTAGGCAGTTTTTCGTTCGTATAGGTCTTGCGGAAGCGGTTTGACAGCAGCTTTCCAAACGCACTGGGAACCATGTCAAAGTAAGCTTCACAGCGCGAGCCAAGAGCAAAAGACTCAGCAAAGGCAGCGGCTTGGTCGGATTGATTGTTGAAGAGGGGGTTTCGGTCGGTCACTTCGGTGTAGATTTCATCCAAGGCACCCTTTCTTGCCGCACAGAACAATGCGAGGGCCAGCATGTCCGCGTAAGCATCAATAGAAGGGTTTTGGACAAGCTGGCACAAAGCTTCAGAGATCTGAGCAAGGTCATGCTCTCTTCGCTCGCGTAGTATATTGTTGAAGACGAATTCGGCCTCTTTGAATAAGGCGAGGCAGAGTGTGGGGGAAGGGAATTGGCAACCTTGCTCCTTGTACCAAGTGAGACGGGTATTTACCACCATTTCTGGGGTAGCGGATCCCTCAAGGTAGGCAGTAGTGTTCAGCTCCTTGAGCTGGGCCAGAGAAGGCATATCTATTAGTTGTCTGTGGATATAAGCACAAATGTCTTCAGACATGGGCCTTGGGGCGTCAGTCAAAGACAGATGTTGCAACAAGAGGAGTCGCTCTTCGGGGCTCAAGGCATCGATATCCTGCACGATGCGACGGGGTAGACCGACGTCCTCGACAAGGTCCTTTGACCATTGCGCCAAAGCGGTTTCTGCCTCAAAGCAGATGTGGCGCGGGAATCCTTTTGCCGACAAAAATGTGTGTAGGACAGTACCCGTAAGACCCTGGGCATTCTTTGACGCAAATATATCGACTCCATCTGCATCCATCTGATAGACAGCCCAGAAGCGGACATCGGTACTTTTACGTAGACCAGAATCCAATCCAAGATATACTCGCAATTGGTCGGTGGAGGCCAAGGTTGCAAGCTGCTTAATAGCTGCTGCAAGCTGTTCAGAGGGATTCCAGTCGCTAGAGGCCAGATTGTCGTGGAATTGCCTGAGGAGAAGCCCCAGACTTTGAAGCTTAGACGCAGGGACAGGGTGGAGCAAGCTATGCGATTTGAGCCGTTGCTGGGATTGCAAGATCTCAGCGAAGGCCAAAGGTGTTGCTTCTGAGCCTAGAGGGAAACACCCTAGCTCCTTGAACTCGACGCCAGCCATAGAAATCGATAACGGGCTACCTTGCGATTTAACCTGAGCAACCCATTCTGGAGGCTCACGCAAAGAGCCAGTCGACTTGGCGCTGAGCTGTAACTGATATTCTGACGATGCAAGAAGTGTCTTCAGAGTCGGGAAGAACGAAATCAGAGAAGTCCAGAATTCATTGTTGACAGGCTGGCGTTCAATGTTGAGATTTGTGCGCCAGCGGTCGTGGGCCTTCATAATCTCGGCATCTTTCAACCACCCAAACGAAGAAAGAGGCTCCATGATTTTGACATTGAGAGCAGCGTTCTCGAGGGCGGATGCGCGGCCAATCCATGGGATTGCACTATAGAAATTGCACCACTGCATCGATCTCTGGATTACTGCGTTGGAGAGGGAGGCGGTGTCGTCAATGGTCTCCCAAGCTATTACCAAAAAGTCACGCATACACGCCTCGGAGACAAAAGCCTTGATCGTTGGGTGTAGTTTCTCGAGCTGAAAGTAATCCCGCTTCTGGCCGTCCGGCAGGATACTCGCATTCTTGATAACGAGCCCCGAAATTGCAGTCGTCTGTAACACATCCCGGTCTTGGAGAAATTTCGGCGGAGCTGTTTCCAGATAAACGGCCAAGCCAAGGTTGTTGATCGTTTCGCACAGCCTTGCAAGCACCGTTGACGTGAACTTGTCTTCCCAGTTAGCAAGCAGAACTCCACTGAAGACCGATTCGCGAAAGCTCCCAGCCAAGACATTGCCAATCTTTTCGATAGCGGTCGAAGTAGTCTCTTGACTGAGGAGCAGCGTGAGGTCAAGTCTACCAACGAAGTGCTTGCCTGGCACTTGTGCAAGACCAGATGCTACACCAGGCTTCAAGGGATCCACGATGATGAGATCCCAACGTTCTAGCAGTTGACGGTAGGTCTCCGTCAGAGGACTCGTAAATGACCCCAGGTAGACTCCCACAGAAGATGGCTTTTGTTTGCTATGATGCGCAGTAGTAAGAGCAAGCTGTTGAGTCGCAAGCTTGTCCAGCTGTTGAACTATATGGGCCGGCACCACCTCCTTACGGGGTCGCGACTAGAAACAGTGTTAGACTGGAGCTTTGATGTGATGTCAGCTTGCAGATGGATTATACCTTATACCATTTGGTGAATCTGTTGAAGCCGGAATATGTGAGATAGACACACCCACATACTACACTTGCCAGCAGGATGCCGATTAGGACCTATGACAGATCAGTATGGGATATATCGCCAGCCTATTCCAAAGGCACAGTGTACACGATTTACGTACAAACTGCCACCAGTGGTTTTTCATCCCCGCCCACCCGACGGGTGAGACGTCGAGGATTTCTGCCATCTCGATTAAAGATTAAGGCGTCCACGATAACGGCGCGAGAACGAGGGACATGTATGATGAATGGAGCAGAGCAGCGAGCGGATGCGATTACTATTAAGAATATAGGATCGTATATTCGGAGGAGGACAACGTCATGCCCTAAGTCATGGTTGTAGGTCTCTTTGTTTCTGGTGTGGAATGTACCCAGTCTCAACCAGGGAAGAAGAGAAGGAATAAGAGAACGGTAGCTTTGTAAATATAAACGAATGGCAAGAACTGATGGGTAGGAAACGAGTTCTGAAAGGGTCGAACGAACGGTGGCCAAAAAGGCTAAAAAAGCAAAATGCGAGGAGAAAATGCGAGCAGGAAAAAAAAGTCAGAATAAAGGCAGCCCCAGGTATAGAGGCGGAAGAAGAGGCCTGAGAAGCGTGATCGAGCAGCCGACAGCCAGCCTCTCCTGTATGTCTGACTCGATGACTGAGCAGGAGGCAGGATGTTAGGTCAGCCGCTGCAGGATGTCAGTTCCAGATATTTTTATTCCATGCAAATTAGTCTGATTAGAAGGTGCGGGCAGTATCTGATCGGGGGCCACCTAGTCTGATGCAATCACGACCGGTGGCGCCCAACGCAGCTTCGGCCTCAAGGATGACCGAAATAGCAAAGCGTGTCAAAGTCCTTTTGGATTTAGTTTGGCGCTAATTCTTTAGGTCGGTTTGAGAGTGAAAAGCGACAGCTCCATATTAAGTAAGTGATGAGATGGTCCCGGAGGCGATTGCCATGCCATGGCATGGGGGATGGCGATGGGATCAACCCGGTAGCGTGGCAGCCATTCTCTCATCATTTGTGTAAAGCGGACCAAACCGAACGGAAGCGAGAGGCAAATGGAACGGTACCATTGATGGCAGCGATTGACTCTTTTCCTTTTTCCAGTCTTTGAACTAAAGTGGGGGAGATGGAGTGGGTGTGGGAGTGGGCAGCACAAGCACACACACACACACAGAGAGGGAGGTCGTTGTTGATGCATGGCCATGGCGATTGTTGCACCACCTGAGGGGGGTCAAAACAGAGAGTGCGGTGGAGATAGTCGAGTATGCGATTGGTCCTCTGAAGAATTTTCGGTCTGCCAGCCTACCTTTTTTTTCCATTTTTTTGCTTTCCTTGCGTTCGAGGTTAGTGGGTATTGCAGAGACAACCAGCCGGTTTGTCTACTGAACGGTAGGTTGGAGGGGGAAACGACTCAAACGAGACTGGATGAACCAAAAATCCAAAATCAAGAGAAAAGAAAAAAAATAAGGTGGAGAAAATCGAGTCGAGCCCGGGAGTTGATGCGGCTACTAAATTAAGCTTAGTGCCGTATCATTACCTTCAGTACACAACAGCTGTGTATCCATCATTCAGCCGCTAATACGGTACTGTCATGGCTATTTCTTTTACAAAAACACCTCTACTGTCACACCGTCTCGTAATACTAAACGAAGGTCTCGTATCCGCTGTTTCCATTTTCCCTTCGTCCTCCTCTTCCATCCTGTTTCTTTTCTTCCTGGTTAGTCGATCTCATACTACTCCGTACTATGGGTATGTCCTTTATTATCTACCCCACACCATCAACCCAAATCTTCATGGTCTCAGTTCCTTATGGGCCCTCCTCTTCTTAGCTTCCAGGCTCTGACTTGTTGTCTATTTTCGGGTGCTAGAATGGCAATGGCCAACTGATGCTAACTGAGCTGATGCTTTAGCGCTCCTCAGTAGAAGACTGTGAGCTGAACTGGGAAATCCATCTCCGTGCGCCGAGCCTCTTGTTCGACGGCCAGGCTCTCTCGCCATGACTCTCAGTCTCTCACACCAAGTGGGCTCGTCTATTTTTTCCTCATCTCTGCTTGTCAGATGCTCTAACTCTCTGAGAGTTGGATTAGGGATGGAACTTGTTAGCGAATGGTTTTGGCAAGGAAGAGAACCCCCCCACAATTCCCCTCAATCCATCAGTCCATCTCGGAAAAAAGTCTCAGGGCAATTTCCACTACGCATGCCATGGCCAACTGGGTCACTCAGATACGATGAACACACTAGTCAAAAATCGATTCATCGCCTCCGACTCCTCATCCAGGGACCTGACTCTCTGAAAAAGCGGGGCTGCAAGTACCCAGCGGAGACCAACTGCGCCATATCGTGAATCGTGGAACCCTCGGCTTCGGACTTAACGGGTCTGGCCCTGAAAAACGCGTGAAACGATAGGCTATCAAGCTTTTTTTACGAGCTCTGGGGAGCAGGCACCCCCCGGCAGTTAATATAAACACACAGGATGTGATTGTGCCCACAGAACACAAGCCGCTGATCTTTAGTCTACAGCTGACGATTTCGCCAGGGGTCCTGAAGTCCAGGTCCACCCAGTCACTCGCTACTATTCGCCTTCGTCGGGCTGACATTCCTTTTTGCTTGCGCAGGATCGGTTGATCAGACTACATTGCAATCATGATTCCCTCCTGGCTGCTCAATGCGGGCTGTTTCTTCGGATTTATAACCTGCCATACGCCCCCAGGTGTTTGGCCTGATCAGGGTGCGACGGTCATTTCATCCACTGCAGCTCCTTTGACAACTTCGGCCATTGGAGTTTCAGGAACAATTGTTCCTGGCACTACTTCCATTGTTCATTCGTTTACTACCACTGCTTCTCTCGCTTCGTCTACTCCCACTGCTGCGCCTACTACTTTAGTCACTTCGTTCGGCTCTACAGCTACAATCGTTGCATCGCTTTCTTCTTCCTCTCTTTCCTCCTCCTCTTCTTCTTCGTCTTCCTCTGTTGTGTCAGTCGAAGCATCCACCACCATGTCTCTCAGCTCGAGCATTGTGGCTGCCCCGTCTGCCTCCGCCGCCGTCTCTGCCTCTGTTGCGGCGGTGAGTGCGGGGTCTGTTGCGGCCAATATTCTGGTTATTGCCCGAGACACTGCCTCGGCCAATGTTGCGTCCTCTGGACTCAACGCTTATGGCATTCCCTTCACCACTCTGGTCGTGCCGCAGGCTGGAGTTAGCCTGCCGGCGCTCAACACCACCACCGGAGGAAACTTCGGAGGTATTGTTGTTGCCAGCGAGGTCAGCTACGACTACGGCACCGCGGGGTTCCAGAGTGCGTTGACTACGGACCAGTGGAACCAGCTGTATGCCTATCAGCTGGCCTATGGTGTGCGCATGGTACAGTACGACGTCTATCCGGGCCCCAACTATGGTGCCAGTGCCGTCGGAGGCGGATGCTGTGACACCGGTGTGGAACAATTGGTGTCATTCTCCGATATCAGCGACTTCCCCACCTCAGGCCTGAAGACGGGTGCTGGTGTCAGCACCAGTGGTCTCTGGCACTATCCGGCCACCATCAGCGACACCAACACCACCAAACAAATTGCCTCGTTTGCCTCCAACTCGGTCGTGTCCAGTGACACGACTGCTGCGGTGATCAACAACTTCTCTGGCCGTGAGCAAATGGCGTTCTTCATTTCCTTCGATACCACCTGGAGTGCTACCTCCAACTACTTGCAGCACGCTTGGATTACCTGGATTACACGCGGACTCTATGCTGGATACCGCCGTGTCAACCTGAACACTCAGATTGATGACATGTTCCTCGAGACGGACATCTACTATCCGAATGGCACTACCTTCCGTATCACCCCCGATGACCTGACGGGCATCACCAACTGGGTGCCCACGATCAATGCCAAGATGAACGCTGGAAGCAGCTACTACGTCGAGGTCGGTCACAACGGCAACGGCAACATTGAGTCAGCCGCCAACACCGGTGATGCCGGTTGGGATGCCTGCAATGGCGGTGCCATTGAGTACGATTCTCCCCCGGACACTCCTTTGGAGTTCCAGAAGCCTCTCGGAACTGGTACCAACCTCTGGCCCTCTACCCCGACCACGTACGACTGGACGACCACCTGTACTAAGCTCGATGCTCTTCTGAACTGGTGGACCACTTCCTCCAACCTGAACAGCTGGGGTCACATCTCCCACACTTTCACCCACGAGGAGCAGAACAACTCGACCTACTCGGATGTGTTTAAGGAGATCTCCTTCAACCAGGCCTGGCTCAAGCAGGTCGGCATCGATGCCGCTGCGCACTTCACCTCGAACGGCATCATCCCCCCCGCTATTACTGGACTGCACAACGGCGATGCTCTTCAGGCCTGGTGGGATAACGGCATCACCAACTGTGTTGGTGACAACACCCGTTCCGTGCTCCTGAACTCGGAGAATGCGATGTGGCCCTTATTCACCACCGTCGCTGCCAACGGCTTTGCCGGCATGCAGGTCAACCCTCGCTGGGCCACCCGTATCTACTACAACTGCGACACTCCAGCTTGCACTGTGCAGGAGTGGATCGATACCTCTGCTGGCAGCGGCGACTTCAGCACCCTTCTGGCGACCGAGGAGACCGACACCATGCGCCACCTATTTGGTCTCTACCACGACCCTTACATGTTCCACCAGGCTAACCTTCGCAACGCGGACGTTGACCCCATCACTATCAACGGCGTCTCGGCGCAGTACTCCATCTTCCAGGCTTGGGTTGAGACCGTGGTGCAGGAGTTCGTGCGCCTGGTTGACTGGCCTATCGTTACCTTGAAGCACCAGGACGTGAGTTATCCCCTTGGCCTTACTCGTATATTTTGAACTCGGCCACTAATCAGTCTTCAGATGTCCGCTGGCTTCCTCGCTCGTTTCAACCGCGACAAGTGCGGCTACGCTCTCAGCTACGCCATCGCGAACAAGCAGATCACTGCTGTGACTGTGTCCGCCACCGGCAACACCTGCAGCGAGCCCGTCCCCGTCACCTTCCCTGTGGCGCCCACCAGCACCCAGGGATTTACCACCGAGCAGGTGGGCAGCGACCCCCTGACGGTGTGGGTGAAGCTCTCGGGCTCGCCGGTGACCTTCACTCTCTCCACTCCCATCGCGTTGTAAAGAGCGCGGGCGGAGCAAACACACTCGCTTCATTGACGGGATTCTGATCCTCTGGACATAATCTGTAATGTTATAATGGCCACATCATGGATATACTAGTAGAATTAGCTACGATACGATATTGAGTATCACTAGGATGAGATACGGTACGAATACAATCGCTAGTGTTTTTTACTTGTGGGAGTAGTACTGCCAACTGTAACTCCACTGTAAACTATGGGCATGTCCTCTACATCCCATACCATCATCACCACCGCACACTATACACAGCACCAGCAAACACCGTCCCATCCAATCCTCCCAGAACAAAACCTATACTTAAATCCTCTTACGTCTCCATGACGCTGACTTTAGGTTGGGAGATTTGCGATCATCCAAAACCTACCCAACGAGAACCCACCAACACATACAGACGTCTACAGCGAGAGAAACATCCCGCACCACCCAACCCGAATCCAAACCGCGGAGGTCCAAACACACCGGAGGAGGCGGCAGCGGCACAAATCGCCCCCTTCCCCCAGAAACCCTGCATGAGCATGAGCAGCAGCACCCACCACTCAAGACAAAGCAGCAAAAACTTTCTTGCGGTACTGTATGTAGTGTACCTATCCAGTTGCCCTAGGGCGCAAAGTTACTTCCATGATCCATCCCATCTAGTGAAGTATGGCATCATGCTACCAACTTTATCAACCCCCACGTCCTTTTCTTCCAACATCTCCCCACGAAAAAAAAAAAAAAAAAAAAAAAAAACAAAAAGTACGATCCGGTTTTGTTTCCCTGCTTCTCGGGGAATTCGATTCGATTCGACTACTCCGTAGGTGTTACCCCTCATCCACTGGGCAGAATGTGGATCCATCCGTCCATTTTTGCCCCTGTCAAATTCGAGCGATAGGACAGCGCATCATCTGCTTGCTGCTGCTGCTGCTGCTGCATCCTGCCGGGCGATCTTGGCGTATGCTCACTAAGGAATCCTTTCGATTTTTGGCGGGGGGGGTTTAGTCTGGAATTTCGGGTTTGTGTTGGCGTGAAGGGAGGGTGGTTTTAGTGGGTTTCAGCCGGTTTCTTTTTGTTTTTGGTTGGGGGTGATGTTTGGGTTTAGATTAGATTTCGATATACGAAAGAAACATTTTGATTCGGGGTGGGTGGTTTGTGTGTTTCTGATAATCTATATGGGATGGCACTTTGTGGGGAATGGGCGGGCGGAGAGAAAGAGGGGCAAAAAAAAAAAAGGGACGGAAGGGATGAGTGGGGAAAGGAAGGGGAAAAAAGGACGGGAAGGAAGTTGGATGTGGTCGGTGGTCGGCTACGGTGACCTAGTTTTACTACTGCTCCTACTACCTCAGGTATGGGGGATGGGGCTGTTGTGCTTGGTTGTTGATTGAATTGAGTCTTGATTGATAATCAATTGTTTTGCATCCTCAGTGTTCACACTTGTGGTGGTGGTCTTGGTGGCAGGTCGGATCCGAAAAGACAGACGGACGAGGCGATACACGATTTCTTGGAAGGTTGTCTGGACCCTGTTAGAAGCGGTGTTATAGCGCCAGAATCCCGCTGGCTCAGTAGCTAGTAGTTGGTCGACTAGCTCTTAATTGACTAGTGACTAAGAGTCACTAAGTAAGCAGGGGCGGAATACCTAGTCGACAGTGAAATTATTCGTACATGGGCAATATGTAACTAGCTGGCTACTATGTGTACTATGCGTACTATGTGCTGTATAATACCCTATACTATAACTATGTGATTCGCTTTCCCCACACAAACTCTCGCTCCGTCAACCTGACTTGCAGGAACAGAACGGGAGGCAAAAGCTACCTCCAAGTCAACTAGTTCCGAGTCAGTTAGCCGATGGCGTGAGTTTCGCTTCCCCCGCGTATGGTCCTGTCAAATTTTACTTTTCCTTTGAAGGGGAGCTTGCCGGCTAAGTTAGCGTTTCTCGTATTTGGATGCATCATACATTGGCCCCGTTACACCTCATCTTGGGTTTCCCTTGTGTGGGATGATGATGCTGATGCTCATTATGATCATGCAAGTTAGATTAAAACTTACCGACTCAATCATCCATTGCTTACCTCACGACTTGAATTGAGTTACTAGTCACTCGCCGACGAGGCTAAGGGGGCATGGCATGGCAAGGCAAGTCGAATCCGGGATATGTACACGAGCCTAAGGCTTGGAGATGATAGATGGCCAGTTTTCCAACGGAGCCCCCTACGTGGTAGACTGTTTTTCTTTATGTGCCCAGTCTCCCAGGGCTGATCGGCGCCGAGGTCGGGGGAAACAGAAACAAGATGTCAAACGGACATGCCGATGGTTTATGTTCGAAATAGTGACGAACTTCTGGTTTAGGGAGGAGACTATAGTCGTATTCATTAAAGATTGTGAGTTGGCATTGTAATCATCCCCGGGTTCGACCATAGCAAGATGGCGAGATTCTCATATCATCCGGGGTGATGAGAGAGACAGCTATGAGGCTACAGGGCTCGAACTGCGCGGAGTTCGCCTCTTTGTCGGGCTGAGCTTGAGTTAGTTAGCGGTTGTTCGAGAGGAAAAAGTCATGATGCCATCCAAGCTCGTAATTCCAAACACAAACACAATGGGCGCACTCCTTCTCCCCTCAATGATCTTCCGTGAGGCTAACAGGAGACCTCCTGACTGCAGACATCGCTACACAGTACAGTAAATGTTCGAACTATCGCCTCTTCTCTGAAGCGCCGGCCCCCCTTCAGCTTTTGCTCAGCCCCATCCATCTCCGTTCCTTTTTTTTTTCCCTTGTGTTCTGTGCTACGCGCCTCGAAAACTCAACCTGACAACCGTCCTACCTTAAGCACCTTTTGGCCCCGTGCAATTGCAAACCCGACGCCTGCAGGTCAAGCTTAGGTTGACACCTACCTGCCAGGGTCAGTCAGGGACGGCCGCGGTGGCTGGCCTGGACGATGGTCTCCTGCCGTCTACCGTGGCTAATCATAGAAGAATCCTCCATTTTCGTTCGCGAGGCAACAAACGGGCGAAAAGTAAACACCAAACAGAAAAATTCTCTGCCAGGTCAGCAGATTTGCTGCAGCGGGTATCCCTGTAGGATTCAGGCGGCCAGGCCAGTCGGGTGCAGTGTGAGTCCAGAAGAAAAAAAAAAAAAAAAAGGAGAAGGGCGAAATGGCCATGCCATGCTATGCCCATGCCAATGCCAGCCCAACAACAGGCCAGCCAAGGGTCAAGCCGGTTTACCGTGGGCAATGCAGGGACGGGGGTCGGAGGTCGGAGGAGATAGGTAGGTAGGTAGTATCTCGCCTTGATGTTTGTGTTCGGAGTACATACGTGCGAGTAGCAAAAAAGAAACTAACGCTGAATGAATGTGTGTTGTGTGTGTCCCACGTATCGGAGCTTGCCAAACCCCCATGAGCTACTCCGTAGTGGAGTCGAGAATGACCTGTAGACCAGTCACTAAAAACCAGTAGGAGATCGGAATCTGAGCACGAAAAGTGTCCGACGATGATGATGGTGGGAGATGATGATGATCAATCACATCGGACCATCAATCACAACATGCCAAATTCTCCGCCACCGAAACGTGGTAGACAGCGCAAGAGCCATGCGCGCCAAGAATCCCCCCCAGGTGTCCACCCCGTTCAGCGACTCGAGTCAGGTTACTAGGCTAGTAGTCTTCCTGCGCGCCAAGAGGAGGGATACGAGAAAGGGTGAGCGCGTAAGTCGGACGGTTGCGACTTGTGCATTATTTGCACAAGTTGTTTCGGGTAGGGACAAAGAAAGCATCGAGAGAACTGTTCGGGAGTCTAAGTCCGAGAGCTATTTTAGGGTTGAATTGGGGGGTGGGAAGGAAAAGAATGGTCAGGAGCAGATTTGTGGTGTTGTCTTGGTGGTCTTGGGGGGTCTTAGGGTGTCTTGGAATTCCAACGCAGATCTTGGCACAACTGCGGGTGATTGCCAAGCCGGATGATTGTGGGATGTTTGGGTATGTAATGGTATTTACCACGGAGTTGCAAGTTACCAGGAAGAAAGCACTGTGCGACGGTCGATACCAATTCCTGTCTTAGTGTAATTAACAATACATGGTCTGACCGTACCTGATCTCGGAAGGAACAGTTAGTGTCCGTGGCTTGCTGGGACTATCCGATTGGCAGCGAGGGAGGATTGGCAAGGTTCCGGCCCGATGGAAGGACAAAAGGACAGGAAAACGAAGAAATAAATAAAAAAAAAAAAAGGCCAAGAAATTGAGCAGGGAAACCGCCAGAGCATGGTGGCTTGGGTTTACCGCGGCCCCTCTGTGTCTAACTTTCTTCAGCGATCAGAAACCCAGCGAACTCTTTGCGAAACCTTAAAACAACTCGGCTATAGCGTGCTTGACTCGAATGGTTGTGGTTAGCAATTCTTTCACCGTCATCATCCGATCGTCTGTTTTTAGGGCATCGCGACCGGAAAACCGGCCCTTCATTTCCTGTCCTCCAGTTGAGTCGGTCTGATCTGGGCCTACGCAAAAAAAATTCTAAAATAATTACTCATCTACTCCGTATATTTCAGTGATTCGACCCTCCTTCTCCTTCGTAGGTCGAGCCTCGTACGACTAAGGCCCAGTAACTTCAAGCGCTGATGGTTTTGCCGCCCATTGCATCCTTCTGGTCCTGATTGAAACAGACAAACAAACAAGTAGAACGACGCGAGCGACAACCAGCCCAGCCATAGCTAACTTGACGTTACTTGACTCAATTAGGGTAAATGGGGTGGCTGTGGGGAGGTCACGGGGTGGCTTAACCCTTTCCAGCCGATTCCGGTGTGGCTTGCTTCAGACAAAGAACCATTCCATGGATGGTGACAGGATGTTCTCTCATTATTCATCTTCAACCACTTTCATATGATTCCAATTTATTCACCGTGCTGTGGACACAAGATTTGAACGACATGGTGTAGTTTCACATCGCTACCTTCTTCGTACCCATCTATGGACCAAGGTCCAATCCTTAGTCAGAGGAAGAGTCTGCCCAGACTTCCTTCACAGGTGCCGCCCCGATTATTTTCCAATTCCAGCCCAGCGCTGAATAGCCAAACGCCGGTGGTGAAAGTTGTGTTCTGGGCGTTTTAGGCTTCCGAATTCTGGTCTCATCTTTGGTGCAGAGCAGAGCAGAGCAGAGCAGAGCAGACAGGATTGACAGGGTCCAAAGTCCAGACTCCAGACCAAATCAGCCCGGCCACAGCCGGCATTGGCGCTTCCCCTCTCGCTTTCCCTCACCTTTTCTTTCCATTCAGGGTCCAGCGCAGCGCGCTTTTCACCACTAGTAGTTGTACTAACTTACCACTTCTCTTCTTCTTCTGAATCCATCTTATCTGCCACTTGATCCCAGGCTCCCCTCCTAATTATATCTCCTTCACCCCCTGATCGACACCAGGCTTTTGGTGTTTCTTTTGCCTCTTTTGCCTCTTTTGCCTCAGCGCCACTGCTGAACAACATGAACCTGAGTCTTGTGTGACCAGCCGAAGCTTTCCTAGACTTCATCCTTAGGCACCCCCGTTTCGCTTCTCATTCATTCGCTCATCGCTTGGATTCACCCCAGTTTGATTGCGACCGGGCTGAAAGACTAACCGGACACGAGCAATCTGCAATCTACAATCAATCTTCTCTCCACCCTTTTAATTCCCCATCTCCCCGGATTGCCCTCGTTGCTTGATCTGACCTTAATTGATCCTTACTTACCTGGGAACCACCTGGACCACTTTCTCTATTTTACCCTCCTTATTGTCAATTTAGCCAATTCTCTCCCCCACCCCAGATGGATCCGGCTGGGGAGACCGCCCTCAAGGGCTACCCCGCGCGAGGCTGGAAGGCTTGGTCGCTCAAGAAGAAACTCATCGTGGTCGGCTCGATCCTTGGTGCGATCGTGGTCATCGGAGTTGCCCTTGGCGTGGGCCTGGGAGTTGGGTTGAACAACGGCGGCGGTGGTGGCG